TTCCAGCAGTGCAATATGAGTCCTAAGCATCCCAGAAACGACACAGAAAGGCATAAAGTCAAACATAACTTTTAAAAACACCAGGCCTTGATGGCCTTGATGGGAAAAAACTACATTTCCACGAAAATGACGTCACTTCCGGTTTCGGGCAGGTCATGGCGGACATGCGATAGTTCGTGCTGATGGACGTAGGAAGCGTTATGAACAGCTGATCGGATCGGCAAAGCCTGTTTCTGGAATATTATGTTTTTGTTGCTGCAAGTGCTTTTTATGCAGTTTTTGCAAAACTATATGTGGAAGGAAACTGTGACCTAGGACAAGCTGATGGCATAAGATGTAAGTACAACTCCTCTGGTTTCATATGCAAAAAAAATTATTGCGCTAGCTCATGTGGTTGCAGTGCTACCAGGATTTAAAAATAGTTACGCAAAACGGAGCATGTCCGCTCTGGCCGGTTTTAAAGGGTTAATTAAATCCCCGAAAACTCCTTTCCATTTGGCTATGCAGTCTTTCACAGAGAGATGAAGCCCACTCATCTTTACCTCTTAAACGCTCAGGCTCTCTGGGATGATTTTTATACCTTGTCTTGTTACCTATTAACCTGCTTTGTTGTGAAATGTTCCACCAGGTCTGACAGTCTTTTGTTGCACTTCTGCAATCTATTTTTTTAAAATGTGCTGCTTGCTCAAATTTGCTCTAAGCACATATTTTTTTTAAAAGAAATAACGATAGAGTTTCAGCATTTGATACTCCGTCTTTGTGTTATTTTCAGTTAACAGACTTTAAATAATTTGAAATCCGCACACTGTTTTTGCTGTGTATCATCTTCTATTGTGTCAACTCAAAACAGGTCATGAATTTAAAAAGTACATTGCCTGTCCAACTTATTACTATAATAACTCCTGTGGGAAATATATTATCTGCTAAATGCTGCAATATATATCATCGCTGTTTATCTCCAGTGTTGTGCTGAACAGGTAGAGCGCAGCTGGTTCTCTGAGCTTTTTCACTCAAATCAGCTGAAAATTACACTGCAAGAGCTGTGCAGATTACACCGCTCTTATGGGGTAATTTTCAACACTTTCAAAACGATAAAACCAGATCACGACCAACAAAAAAGGGGTAAAACGCTGGTGTGATGATTAGCACTGTCGCCTCACAGCAAGAAGGTCCTTGCCTTTCTGTGTGGAGTTTGAATGTTCTGGCCAGGCCTGTCTGGGTTCTCACTGGGTACTCTGGCTTCTTTGCAAGGCCAGAGGTTAACTGGTGATTCTAAATTGGCCGTGGTTATGAGTGTGAATGGTTGTTGGCCCCACGACAAATTGGCGACCTGTCCAGGGTGTACCCGACCTCTCAGCTTGTGACAGCTGGTGTGAGTCTCCAGCCCCACTATGACCTTGAATTGGATAAGCAGAAGAAGACAGATGGATGGACCAAAGCAAGAACAGACGGGCCCTGCAGAGTTAACTGATAATTTGCTGTTGATTTATTGCTACAAATGACGCCTTTCATTCATTGCAGTTAATATAAAATTATTGATTCTAGCTGCTTCCAATGAGCTGTGATCCCCTATGATTTTAACACTTTGCTGTCATTTCCTGCAGCTTTAATTGAGGCAGCGGCACTCTTGTGCCTCCAAGTGTAATGTGTGTGGAAGGGGAGTGATGAAAAACACTCAAATGTGTTCAGTCACTCTGCCTTGGATAAACAGAGGTAAAACAAAATGGCAAACAAGCCAAATACCCACGAATCCAAGAGCAAACTACCAGGCTGACAGAGAGGTTTTAAAGATATAATGCCATACAGTGACACTGGACACAGAGAGTCAATTGCTTGGTAACTGCCTCCTGTCTTATCCCATTAGACTTATAAATTTCACAAGCTGAATAAAATCATGCTCGGAAGAAATATTTCAGCTGTAAACCATAGTCGTGCTCATTTTCATGCCTCCCAAAAGACAAATAATAAACACTTGTACTTTTCTAAGCTGTAGATTTTGCTGTTTTAAGGGCACAGTCATTCCTTATGCATGTAAAAATTCCTTCCTCGCATTTGCAGCCCTAAAAGCGAGGAGCTGATTGATTGACTCACTGAATGACTAACCGAAGACACAAAAGTACATAATCTTAAGGAATAAAGTAAAGTTCATTACAGTAATTACATTAAGCACTCAGAGAGACTGTTCAGGTGTATGACCCCGCGAGGATTTTGTTTTTGAAATATTGATTTTCTATCTTCACACAAATTGCATTCGGGGGCTGTTAAGCAGTGGAGATTTAACCATCCCATTACTCTACGTGCATCACCATTAGAACCGTGACCCCTAAATTAGGAGCTACACAGAACAATTTGCATACTAATTACTGTTTTAAGGATTGTATTTTGCATTGTGAATGCAGGGGCATTTAATCGAGGCCGTTCAGCAACTCCCGGAAATGTGCTAAAAATGAACAGATAAGACCAAGTTATTAACATATGCTGGACATTAGCATAGGAACCACATCACAAGTGACATTTCTAAATTAAGGCTAAAGATCAGATTTGACGTTTTCCAATTAAATCCAACAGTGACCTCTTCAACCACAAACAGTTAAGAGTGAAAACATTTCAACTCCATTCACACAACTTTGAAACACTTTTTACTTCAAGAAAATGAAGTTCAAGTGATATTCTGAATATGCAGAGTTCTTTGTGTATGTATATAATTGAACTTGATGGTGAAAAATCCAAACGTCTGATCTACATATGCCAAACACATTTAATAGACGAGGCACTAATCTAGATAATTAACAACAAATATTGAGTCATACTATTGTTGCTACTGCAGATTAAATGCAAACAGATTGTTGGCTTCATTTTGAGGAGATTTTAAGCTGAAACCTACAGGCCTGAAAACCAGGACAACAACAGCATAGCATAAAATTGATTTCATTTTGCTAAGATTAGGCAGTCCTGTCAACTTTTAGCAACAACCTTTAGCAAAAGTTGTCTAAAACATGAACTGAAAGTGTTACAGATATTTATTATCTGTAATGGGGAGCCTCCAGTTAATCAGCACACAGGCCAGTGTTGCACAAAATCATCATTTCAGTGTTTTTTGTTCTTCTTGTTAAAGCTTCTAAAAATGTCAATTTGTTGCTTTCCTTAAATTGAACAGAATATATTTGTTAGTTTTATTTTGAGCTTTTTCTTAGATGTCAAATCCGTTTTTTAGTAAACAATTTGTGGATTATAAAACAGTTTTTAAAAAGTATCCAAGTATACCATGCGGGGTTTAACAGAGAAATGCACATTTTCTTATCATGTGCATCATATAGTAATCACTGTGCACCCCCTTCTATATGTCCTGACAGATGCAGATAGCATTATGGACGAGACAGTTGCTCTTTCTCTATTTTGGGAAGAGGGGTCTTGTTTAAGGAGGCTATCTGAGATCCGTGAAACATGGACTCAGCAGACAGGGAGCCGCAGCTGTTGCTGATTAATCATCAGAAGGCCGTTTCGCTCTCCGTACCAGTGTCAGTACTACCTGAGGGGGGAATCCCTGCTGGAGAGACTATAGGCCCGCAGTTTAACTTATAGTGTGCATGCAGGCCTGGGCTGCACATGTCTAGGAGACATTCGTCTTCAGATATTAACTCCCAATTGAGACACAGCGTACAGGAGAATCCGGGATATAAACGTAAACATAAAAGCACATACGTGAAACTGGAAGTCCAGGTGTTCAGCCAATCACCAGCAAAGATGAGCTCGGCAAGCTGTAACAACCGGTATCCTTCAGTTGCGTTGCCAGACGCCAATTATTTTAATGGCACACCCATTAGAGTGTATCACGAATCCATTTCAGTCCGTTGCAATGGATCATATCTGCACAATCACGAGGAGCAGTGTGAGCGGACAGACAGGTTAAAGCCTGGGCAGAATGAAGCGCTCCGGAGTGACAGACCGCATCCAGCTATCGCCTGTTTTTGCATCTTAAAACGCATGTAATGTGATTCGTGTTCAGCAGCATATTATATTTAAAATTCTGTCTTCTGCATACCAAGTTGCCCTCCATGTCACGAAGACTAGGTTCTATAGACATACCTGCGAGTTTGAATCATGCCTTATTCATTGTAACCTACCTGGATTTGTATTCCGGGGAGTTTAGCGACTGCGAAATAGCTCCTGTCCGCCCCCTTTATTATTGTTTTACCGCGCAGATCAGCCTGCCAACAGTCTCAAAATAACCTCGCTGTTTGGATCTCTTTAGTCTAACGTGCTCCTCGGACCAAAATCCCCCAGTGATGCCGCTGTCTCGGTCTCCAGCCTGCTCGAGATTGGCGATTGGATCAAACTGGTCAGAGGTGATCGCCTTTGGTCTTCTTCTGCCTTGGCGCCCTCCTGCCCAGATCCTCCCCGTCTGACGGATTGACCGGGTCGCAAAGCTGTCAGTGACAAGGGAGGAGGAGGAGGGGGGTGGTCAGTATTTTAAGGTTGCAGCCTTGGTGGAGATGGATCCTCTTAGCCTGTCCGCACGGCTCTCCCTCCTCCTGCAAGCCGTGAATCAGCGCTCTCCTCCTCCTCTCTCGGCTGCGGTAGCGCAAGAAATCTGTGATGTAGCTGTTAGAAACACTGGCGTAAAGCTCCCCGCCTGCTGTCTTCGCTACAGATGTGACATCGTGTGTTCATGGAAAGCTCAGCTGTGCATCCAGCTCTCTGAGTTGCCAGGGCTCTCTGCTGGACTTGGCGCACCATCGGAATGACCGCGGTGTGTCTCCTGTGCGCTCCCCTCAAAGTCAGTTTCTGCAGCTTGCAGTAAAAGCTGGAGACGAGCGTGCCGTCCTCGCGTGAGTAATATTTAAAAAATTTGTATAGTTGTCAATATTAGAACCACTCTCACGCGACGATGGTGTGAAATGGTTGCGCCCTACAGCCCTCCGCCCCCCATTTCTAAAAGTCACACAGACAGACTCGGTTAGGCGCGCAACTACGTCACCATCAGCTGAGAGAAGAAACCTGCAACACAAACCGTGAATCTCTTCCAGACCCACAGTCCGCTGCTGCTAAGAATGAGAGGAAGGGGATAATCGAGAGGTAGGAAATCACAAAGGTTTTGACACAAAAACTGATTGCTGTTTTTTCCTGTTTGTTTTTCTTTTTATTAGTTCTTTAGACCATTTGTTAACTCTAGCAAATACAATATGCCACAGAAGCGAGATGAAAATTACTCTGGCTGGCTACATCCCACAGATACTAATTATTATTATTATTATTATTTGGTATTCCTACAGAAATAACGCGCGGATACGCTGGATACGTGTATATGATACGATGGACTAATCTTAACAATTTCTTTCCATCTTATGAGCATTATTATATAACCTACAATGGCTGTAGGCATGCACTTAAAGAGCCAACTTAAAATACCAGCAAACATTAAAGGCCCAACACATCAGCACACGTGTTTTACTCACACAAACTCTTAACTTACTTTGTTATGTCATGATGGCTGATCTCAAAGACGAAGTTATCAGCCAATGCTTCCCAGCTTGGTTAGTAGAAGCTACAGCTGAATCCAAGCAGGGCAAGTGACAAAAATGGCAGTTCCCCTAGGTGCCACTAGAGGCTGCCTGCAAAAGGGAGTCAATCCTCCTGGATTATCATGTTAAAAATGGCTACCTCTACATAATTCAGAAAAGTTGTGGGGTGAGGGGAATTAGTTTTATAACTCTTCCACCAGAAGGACTGAGTCAGTCAGATATCTGTGTTGAGTGACAGGTGTCCTTACCAGGCAGTTAGAACCATTCGTTAGAGCCATGGCAGCAAGACGGCAATCAAGTGTTTTCTGTAACTGACACAGACTCTTTCATACTGCTGTGGAGGAATTTTGGCCCACTATTATTATTATTATTATTATTATTACTATTAAATAACAATTATTCCATAATTGTTTTAAATCAGCCACACTGGAGGGCCTCTCTAGTATTACAGGCTTTCTAAGGTCATTCCAAAGCATCTCAATATGATATATTCCAGACTTTGACCAGGCCACTTCAAAACCTTCATTCTGTTGTTTTGGAGTCACTCAGAGGTGGACTTGGAGTGGTGGACATCAATCCATCTTCTACCAACTATCTAAGTCCGGGTCGTGGAGGCAGCAGTTTACGCAGAGATGTCAAGACCTCCTTCTTCCTGACCACCTCCTCGAGCTCCCTTAGTACAGTTAATTATGATTTGTGAAATAATGACATTAAAATTTGCTCCAAAAGTAACCAACAACTTAATCTCTGTCAAGAGGTCCAATTCAGTGACTCAGTTTAGCAGCCATCTGTTGCCTAAAGACACCTGTGTTCGAAGTGGCAAATATTCATTAACACAAATAAAACGTGTGAGATTTAAAATACAATACTTTTTTGAAGCTGTCTGCTGTCTTCTTAATTCTTGTTGGCGTTTTAGCATGGGTATCTATAAAAAACAAGCCTCAAGTGGCCATTGGATGAACTGCATGTTCAGTGACGACATGGTGCTTCTTGTTGTTATTTATTATGTTTCATATCAGGCGACAGCTTTTTCATAAGAGTCTTTGTTGGACGTTTATAATACAGAAGTCCCTGAAAAATAAGCAATAAATTGAGGGCGCCACAATCTGTCGTTCCTGCTAGTTAAACCCACATTTGATGCATTATATTGTCATCAGGCAGCGGTACAATCAATCACACAAGTTGTCAACATACAAATTATATCCAGGTGGCTGTGGCTCAGGAGGCAGAGCAGGTCATTCACTAAGCAGAAAGCACTTTGAGTGCTCAGTAAGAGTAGAAAATAGTATAATATAATTACTATTCCACTTCCATTTACCACCCTAATTAGTATCAGCATTAGGGATAAAGGCTGCCTTTAGAGGTGTAACATTAGAATAGGATATATTCTATTAATGATCTTGAGAAAATCAGATGGAGTACATGAAAACATACTGAATGTGTCAGGGCACAAAAGGTGTAATTTAACTATAAGTAACAAAACAACAGGGCAAAAAAAGCTTTTATATCATGTTTGTACTTATATTGGATGCATGTGTTTATAAATGTATCAAATCACCAAGGAATTAGAAATATTAAAACATATAACATCAAAAATGAGTACTAATACGTATAATTCTTTCATAAAAGAAAACTCATTCAAGTTATTTGAATATGGTTACCATCGACAAGGGATCACTGGTGGTCCTGCTGAACACATTCTCAATGATCTCTCATCAGCTCTTCTGTGTTGTTGTGCCCATTGTTTAGTTGCATTGCACAACCCGATGATCTCTATCTCCAGTTATATGCATTACTAGTCAATAAGAGCTTCGCTGGGCACACAGTCCTTGATGCAGCACAATCACCCTGCTGACGAGACAGACGAAGCCCCAGAGACGGGAGCAAAGCAGGAGGATGTTGACACCACCACCACCTCTAATTATAGCATCATACAGGCCTGAGGCACTGTGAGGGAGGGGGAAAAATCCTTAAACTCCCAGAGCAAACCAAACTGTATGTAAAATTAATTCCAGTATTTAAGTCTTTTAAAATAATTAGCAGTTAATCAATAATGAATAATTATTCCCCTGTCTAGAAACAACACGGATAGACTCTTACTGCAGCATGCAGAGTCCCTCTCTGTTGGGACGGAGCCTGTATGCAAAGCAGGAAAAATCAATTGGATCCGATTTTAATTACATAGTCCGGCACTGTGGTACAGAATCTCATTAGCCTCTTCAGATTTCCATGCTTGTTGAATTCAAGTCTGAGATTCAAAAACAATCACTCCCCAAATGGACAGACTGTGTTTTTGTGTGCGTGCGTCTGGGTGTGAGGAGTGCGGAGGTAAAGAGGGGGAGGGGTGCTATGATGAGCCAATCTGTCCAGGTAGTCCAAACCACTAGCACTCCCCCATCCTCCACTCCTCTACATGCAATGCTGTAATTAGTATGGAGACTACAGTTGGATTTTTAATGAAGTTTTCTTATCTGCAGGAAAAAGGGTGGAGGCTGAGAATACACTGGACATACTGGTGGTGCTTAAGTGTACCTGCACCCAGCATGCATCACATGATTGGAATTCAATGCCTGCTCTTGCCCCTCTCATCAAAGTCCTCAATGCATTTAGTGATGATTAATGGATTATACACCAGGCCTGCTTGTGCTACCCACTGAGAGGAGCAGCACTTACAAGGGGGAGGGTGGCTTGATGGTCTTAGCTCTGAAAACTGACTGCTGACATTGATTCTCAGAATAAGGCAACTTTTCTCCAGCTCCTCCTTGCTAATTTCTCTCTTCACTGTTTTACCACAAGAAGCTTGACAACGGCATGCCACACCACACAGGAGCACCAGCAGCAGTGGGGAATAAAACAGCATAGCAGGAGAGAATAGTGCTGCACTTGCATTTTCTGATTCGTAATTTCACTCTCTCTCTCTGTGCTGCACTCGGCACTTGCTGATAATTTGTAGGATTGAGATGCAACAACTTTGCCCACCCAGGCAAAGGCACTGTGGGAGCGGCCAGAGAGAGAAACAGGAGGGAGCGGTCATCAGGAAAGTTAACATCAACATCACCCCCTAGGCGACGTCCACTTACAATAGGTGGTAATGAACGGTGAACCTGTGAAACAAGAAAGGTAGAGAGTCACCTTGCATCAGGATCGCAGGGATGGCAGTCACTCTGAAGACTTAAAAGATGCATGGAGTGTGATTTAAATCAAAATATGGCTAGGCTGAAGGGTCATTTGGTTTTCACTGCTTAGCTAAATGGCTGTCTGGCATTATACATTAGTTTTAGTGTTATCTACCATGTAGACATTTGATTGTAGCATTTGTAATGTCATGAGAAACCTGTGACCACATCTGGTAGCCCCTTCTATCCTTGAGATGAGCTGACACACACTACCACCACCCAGGATGTATCAGAAGAAGATCTATCATCTAATTCTGAAGAAGTCCAATCAAGGACTGGTCGTCTTCTACCGTGAGTTTTTTCTATCCAGGCATGCTTTTACTGCGTTGGCAGTTTGTTTGGGATCATTCCCCATGAAAAAATTAGGTCAGTTGACAGTTAGTTCATTTCAGATAGTATTGCATGGTGGATTAAAATCTGATTGTACTATTCTGTGTTCATAATTCCATCAATTTTGACCTCCTTCGTGCATGACGATGACTTGAACAAAAAATTTAGAATTTGGATTCATCACTCCATAAGACCTGCTGTCTGAGATTTTCAGTCAAGTTCTTGTGTAATTTGGCACACCTCAGCTTTTTCTCCACACTTGGTTTCTTGAGAGCTACCACCATCCACTGAGACCTCTGAGGTCCAGGATTCAGATGAGGCTTCGGTGAACAGTAGATGGATCAACCAATGGGGAAGATCAACCTCTCCTATGTCCTTTGTCAGTTTTGTTTGATTGTTTTGTTTTTCTTAAGGACGTGACTTTAAGACATAGTTCATCTGCTGTAGATAATTTTTAGGCCTGGCACTTTTTCTTTGTCCTTCTAGTTCCCTGGACCCTGCTGAGATATGCCGAGTTTTCAGCTAATGGCTGTCTGGGACAAAACAAAAATCTATTTTATGCCCAGCAAAGTGTTATCTTTGGCATTTCTCATATATTCAGCTCAAGAAATGGGAACAAATCACACCATAGGGCGACCAGCATTTTTATTCCGCATCTATGCTTACAAATAACAGTAGATTGCTGTACAAAATGTGCTGCAAGAATTTGCTCAAATGTTTGAATATGTTTGCCATATAAATATACTCACAATGTTGTAGTCCCAGAAGGAAAAATCCTAATATAGTAGAACAGCTCACACCTCCACTGCACTAGAAATATTTTCTTCTTTTTGTGGCATCTAGCCAAACACCATCACCTTTATCCCATCATCCAGACATACATGCTTTGGCTTGATTAGGTGGGGATGCACATAATCAAATTGAGAGGACGAGCTGGTTATTTTTTCTATAATGCAATAAAAGCTTTACCACTGTGCACCAATAAATCCTCTCCTCAAATAAAAACCTGACAGTCCATAAATTTGTACTGAGTGCAGATAGAGAGGAACCACTAAGCTTTCCCAAATATATGATAAATGCACTTTTACTTCAGTATTTGCTCACATAGTGTAGCCTGTCTAGGAAGAGTGCCACCTCCGCAGCTGCAGCTATTGGAGCTGAGCATTCAGTGGTTCACTGGTCCGGAATATATTTGCAGGGGAAGATGGGTGAGTGAGGGATACCCGCACCGACTCCATTACATCAGAGGGACGGTGCACAGAAGACGAGTGTAGGACACTGGACTCCACATTCATCTACTCGTCTCCCTTGTGCCTTATGGTGCTGAATGAAAGACAGAAGGACAGGATGGAGGGTGGAGCATCAAAAGTACGGGATGGCGATATGAAGGAAGACCGGATGAGACACAGATCAAGGCGGAGAGGTCAGTTCGACTGAGGGACTTAGCGTCACATCGCTCGGGCCCCTGTGCCCCACAGCCACATCTCCATGGCAACTTGTGGCCCCTGCCTCGGTCGCGGGGAGAGTGGAAGTGACGGCGGCGATCTGTGCGTGTTCCGTCTGGCTCATTATGTGGCGAATGAAGTGAAACAGCCAGGGGGTGCATTTGTTCTGCGTGGACTACCCCCTCAGCTGCCAAGCGTCTGTCTATTTATAGAAATGAAAGAAAAAGAGAGAAAGCGGGCCTAAATAAAATAAGCACAAGGGCCATTTCTCGACTCACTTTTCCTCCTCTCTTCCCCCTCCTCCAGGTAGTAAAAGTCTCTATTTTCTGCATCTCTCTGAGACTCAGAAGGGTGATGAAGGCTCTCCCTAACTAAAGACCGTTTTCATATTTGATAAAACTCTGTTATTTTCCTTTAATGTATAAAATTTCACAGATAAAACATAGAAAATCCTGAAACTACAAACTGATACTGGAGTCTAATACCAGGCATCATCATGAAACAAAGTTTAAGTTTAAGTTTAATAATTGAGTTATTAACATTTTAACTGATAGATGACTGAATTTAGACAGAAAAATCAATGTTTCTTTAAAATATATAACTCTATATTGATATATTACAGTGAAAGCCTTGTATCTGTGATGATATGCACAAGTTATTCTTCCATGATGTTAATTATTTTGCCCCCAGCCAGGAAGAATATTCAAATCCTCAGTCAATTATAATACAGAGGACAATAGACAGTTAGCGAGTGACTACCCTACTAAAAAGGACATAGGCATGCAGGAGGGGTTTCCACAAGTACTAACTAAACTGGCCTTTTTGAACTTATTGCAGAGAAAATGGTGCCGAAATCAAATGAGTGCAATACAGATGTGTGCAGTTCTTTGTTTGTTTTGCATGAACAAATTTCTGCAAATCTCAATGAATTGAAATAACAAGAGCAAAGCAAAATTCCTCCACATTGATGTGAGAGTGATAAAATCAAACAGAAAGTTATTACTCCAAGTTATTGCTGCTAAAAGTGGATCATGGTGTGTACTTGGCTTTTTTTTAACTAAATAACAACACTCTGTAATATGTGTTGTTGTTGTTTATAATATTGAGATATTAACACCTGGTGAGAACTAGATATGTTTTTATTATGTCCAGATATGTCAAATCTGGACATAGTGGGCATACATTCTTTTCTTTTTTTTTTTCTTTTTTTTTTTATACCATGCCTGTACATCGAGTTCTCTAAAAAGCAAATTCATCAAAAATCCGAACATCAGTCTCTGTGACTTAAAGATTTCAAACTTTCTGCTTATTGCAGCTTTAAAACAACAGCATTGATGCTAACGTCAAAGATCACATTAAATACAGTTCCTGGAAAGAATCAATTCTCCAGTGTTTACTTTGTGTCATCAAAGTGACACAGTATTTCTTTTTAATTTTCTGGTGATGATTTTTAATCAAACTACCATTCCCTATATAAGTGACAGTCTGCTGGTTAAGCTGTCACTGATTAGCATTAAGTAACAAATATCAAAACGTTGTGATTTCAGTCTGGTGTGAGAATTCACCCGATGATGACAAATGAGATATTATATTCTGCATTTCTCTCACTGAAGTGAATAGTCATGTCTGCAATCCTTGTGAAAAATGTCTTCTCATGAGATAATACCAGTGGTAATTAATCATCATCTGGGGAATGTGTGAGTGAATCTGCGGAGAGGGAATTTTTCATTCATCAAGGGCCAAAAGGACTGTGAGCAGAACGCTTTTTCTGCAGAGTTTCCACATCAGAGTTGTGATGATTTGGCAGATTAAAAACCAGACTTGCAGGGCTGCTAATTAAAGGGGGAATCGACTGATGGAGGGGCCCCAGAGCTGAATAGGGCCACTGGAAGATGCTCAAGATTATTTTGAGAGCCCCAGTTGTCACATTGCCCAGAATCTCAACCGACTCCACAATTCTTGTTTCTCAAACTTCATTAGTTCTCATCAAACAACACGGTAAATATTGAATTTCATTTCCCCCTTGTTTAGCCTTGTCCACTTAATATTTAATTGCATTTTCTTGCATTCTCTAATAAAAAATTGATGTGCATGTGAATGGGCGTATGTTTTTCAAATATGGGCTCCATCTCATAACACATCTTGGCAGCTCACTTACGATAGCAAGCCCTTCCAGGCTGACCTATTTTGGCCTCTGATGACTACACCCCCGCTATATCTCCTCATCGTAGAACTGTAGAGCTGTAACATGTCTTTTGCTTCAGCGCTCTTAAGTCTTCTTCACGTGACTCACTTGAAGTAGGCTCTGTGGAAAAGCTGCGAGGCTGTAGAGCCGTACACAATTAACAAGGTTACACGGTTCACCAAACACTGAGCTAAATAACTTCCATATAATGTACAGTGAAGTAGGACAGTGTGGAGGAAATAAAGAAACGGCTAAATGAGTGGGATGTTTAGCTGAAAGCAAAGCCACCTCACCTAATTTCACACATCATTTTGTCTTCTAGAGATTTCCTTGCTAGCAAGAGAAGGGCCCACTTTCCTAGACATGTGTTACACTTCGTCCAAGAATCTTGTTTCTTTTTGTTTCTTTTTTTTTTTTTGTTTTTTTTCCAGGACACGGTGCAATCTGTGTTTAGGAGACCGACGCCAAAAGTCTGCAGTGATGAAAGGACATCTGTGAGGAAGCTAACTGCTAATACTATCATGCTGTGATCCATTTGTTACCATGTTAATATCAACCACGTTCATGCTGACAAATATTTATCATGTCCACGGAAAAATCTTGAGCTACCCCCATTTCTTTATATCTTTGCTTTCTAGGAGCCAGATTTTTAATTTTATATTTCGTTATTTTTGGAAAAAATGATCATGAGTAATAGTTTTCTAGGTTCTCTTAACGTCTTTCAAAGTTTTTCTTTGGACACTGGCTGCTTTTTCATGAATGTTTTAGGGTTTTTGGCTGCATTTCATCCAGTGATGTTGATGATCTTGTCAAAATTGATGGAATACTTTTCCGCATCACGAAAAAACACACTGCCAGTTCCCTTTCTACCACAACTGTTTGATTTGTTTGTTAGTCTGATTGTAGTGCTTCTTTTACTTAGACTTTGAATGTGTCACTTTTTATTGTATCACATTTTCAAATGTTCCTGTTATTTAATAAAGAAAATAATATTTTTTTCCACCACCACAGCTAACCCCTCAGTATATTGAGGCCAAGCTTAATGAGCATCATCAAACTCAATATCTTTTCTGTCCCAAAGAAACAGCAGCATCCTCGCTGTAGTTCTTATTTCTAGACAGTAATCAAAAACAGCCCTGGAGCCACCCGGTGGAGCCTCCAGCACGAGTGTGTGATTCACCTCTAAGATTACAAATGCACCAACATGTGGCTATTCTAATTTTAGAAGCCTCTTCGCAAAACACCAGACATTTTTATCAACCCTCCGCCTGACGCAAGAGCTTTGATGTGATCCGCTAATCCTGTTATAAACACTTGATTACTCCGCTTTGTTATTCAGAGGTGTTTGGCGGATAAGAGGCGATTGCTACTTCATGGCGCTTTGCCACACATTCAAACAGCCTATGACAAAACAGCACTCTGAGCAAGATGTATTTTTGTACAACCTGTGCATGGGAAAAATAACCCTCACATATGATCTGCTGTTTGTTTCTTGAGCCCAAGAACACTCTGTATTAAAACAGCTCAAAAGTCAGGAACGTAAAAAAGGGATTGCGGAAAATGTATCCCAAGACATTTTCATGCACCTGAAGAATATTCATTACATCTCATTTCACAGCTGAATGAGATGAGGCAGCACATGCATTATCTGTCACTCACCCACACATTACCTAAACGTACGAATCTAGGGCCATTGTTGCATACAGAAAATATCATGTTCTTTTGTTTTTAGGACCAAAAAAGCAAAAAGGTAATACTATTTCTATTATAAGCACAATAAATCCACTGCAGTGCAAAGTAATAACTGTCAGAAAAACAGATTACTGTCGAGAAGTATAAAGCCTGAGGAAAGGCTGGACTGTTCTCTTATTTATTCCTTTATGCTTCCAACTGGTAAATCAATGCAATACCATTGTAAACAAAGACCCACCACATCCACCAGCTTTTGTCAAAAACAAAATGAAAGTGAAGGCAACACTGTGGATAAACAACAATAATTTATTGAGTCATGTAAATCATACATGGATATATAATCCTTTCTTTGTGGAAGATGCAGCAGGACACAGATGGGCCACCTGCTGGCTGAGACAGGTGACACCTGATTTATATTTGTGCATTAAATTATAAGTATCAACTTTTTTTTTTATTATAACACCAGTTTTGCTTCTATGGCATAATAATAGTAGTAATGGACAGCTTGAGCCAATCACAATGCTGGTATTTTGGGTGTAAAAAAATGATGATAAAGTCATTGTCTATCAACTTCCCAGCAAATCAGAAAACACCGCTTGACTCTGCACCACCACGTATTCAGGTGTGAAGCCTACTCTGCTCCACGTGCTGAAAACAATGGAGACAGCATGTGTTT